AGAGATTTGTAGCTGGGTATGATGGCACACATCTGTAATCCCAGCAATTGTGGAGGCTGAGGCAGGAGGTTCTTAAGTGTGAGGTTAGCCTCAGCAATTTAGCAAGATCCTATCTCAGCATAAAAAATAAAAAGGGCTAGTAGAGGTAGAGGGGTGGTCGAACACCCCTGTGTTCCCACCCCAGTACTGAAAATAAAATTTAAAAGAAAAAGGTTTCTTTCTCATCCAGTTAAGTACCAATTCACAAACCCAGATGGCCTGTTCCTTCACATGGTGAAACCCCTCTTCACACTCCTCAAACCTTTTAGCACACCCAGCAGCCATGCTATGTTCTATTTGTCTTTTCACTACTACTTCATTAAGTGTGTTCAAGTATGATTGACCCCCAATTTCTTTGTGCTATTATAGAAATCTTTTAGAAGCACTTCTATGTTATCCACATTTGTTTTCCTTGTTTTTATTTTAGTTTGGAGACTGGGGATTGAACCCAGGACCTCATGATTATAAGCAAGAGCTTTACAACTGAGCTCATCTTCAGCACTTTGTAGCTGGAATATCAGGTGTGTACCAGCATATCTGAGTCCTTGTCAATTTTTCCAAAATTATTCTTTAAATAATGTATAAAAACAAAGTATTAATAATAATAAAATGTTTTTTTTAATATATATTTTTTAGTGTTGATGGACCTTTATTTTATTCATTTATTTATATGCGGTGCTGAGAATTGAACCTAGTGCCTCACACATGTGAGGCAAGCACTCTACCATTGAGCCACAACCCCAGCCCTAAAATGTTTATTTTTGAGACACTTTTGCTAATTTGCCCAGGCTGGACTTGCTCAAACTTGAGATCATCCTGCCTCAGCCTTGTGAGTAACTGGGATTATGGGCACATGGCATTGCACCTTTTTTTTTTCTTAGTTGTAGATGGACACAATATCTTTATTTTATTTTTATGTGGTGCTGAAGATCGAACCCAGGGCCTCACAAGTGCTAGGTGAGCGATCTACCTCTGAGCCACAATCCCAGCCCTCTTTTTTTTAATATTTATTTTTTAGTTTTAGATGGACACAATATCTTTATTTATTTTATTTATGTGGTGCTGAGAATCAAACCCAGTGCCTCAGGCATGCTAGGCGAGTGCTCTACCTCTGAGCCACAACTCCAGCCCCACCCTTCCAAAAGTCTTTTTTTTTTTTCTTTTTAAAGAGAGAGAGAATTTTTAATATTTATTTTTTTTAGTTTTCAGCGGACACAACATCTTTGTTTGTATGTGGTGCTGAGGATCGAACCCGGGCCGCACGAATGCCAGGTGAGCGCGCTACCGTTTGAGCCACATCCCCAGCCCCCAAAAGTCTTAACTAGACAAAATGATACAGGGAAGTTAGACTACAACATGTCTCTCTCTTTTTTTTTTTTTTTTGGTACCTAGGATTGAGCCCAGGGGCACTTAAGTGCTGAGCCACATGTTTGTTTGTTGTGTAGAGACATGGTCTCCCTAAATTACCTAGGATCTCACTAAGTTGCTGAGGCTGGCTTTGAACTTGCAATCCTCCTGTCTTAGCCTCCCAAATCTCTGGGATTGCAGGCATTCACCATTGCACCCAGCCCCTCTTTTCTTATTAAACAGGTTGCTTTGCTATTTCACATTTAACAAAATACCCTGGGAAATATTTCAAACTAGTTTATAGAGATCTTTCTTTTTATTTTTACAGTCATTCAGTGTTTCACTGATAAAACATACCATAGTTTTTGAAACAATTTCCTATGTTTGAACATTTTTTACAGTTTCTAATATTTTGTAATTATAACTGTTGCAGTCAAACAACTTTATGCATATGAATATCAATATGTATATTGGTAGGGGTATATCTTCAGGGTAAATTCCTAGACATGAGGTTGCCAGGTCAAATGTTAAATGCATATTGTACATTTATTAAGATATTGCCAAATTGCCCTTCATCGGTTATAGCTTTTTGTTTTCCTTCCAACAATATATGACAGCACTTGTTTGTTTCCCCACAGCCTTGCCAATAGAGTGTATTGTCAAGCTTTTGAATTTTTGCCAATCAGATAAGTGATGTTATTTTTAACCCCATACTTAATTGCCAGCAAATCAGGCAAGTAACCTAGCATCATTGTTTAGATGCCAGAATGATATCTAGTTCTATCTGCTGGTAGTACATGTTTGCAAGAAAAGTCCTCTTCACAGCTATTTTGTGTCTTTGCATTAACTTTTACTTATCTATTAAAATTCCTGCCCCCGCTTTCCTAAATGAAAACAAAAACAAAACCAGTATCCTAACACCTTTCTTTTGGATTGCAGCATGTACCACACTTCAAACTTCATGAAATTGCAAATAACTAGACATCCCAACTTAATAAGTATCTTTCTGTTACCTGAATCAAAAGCTTTGCAGCTCCCACTCAAACAAAACTCAGGATACAGAAGTTAATGGAGGGCTCAGCACCACATACAAACAAAGATGTTGTGTCTGCCGAGAACTAAAAAATTAAAAAAAAAAAAAAAAAAAATATATATATATATATATATAGGGGCTGGGGATGTGGCTCAAGCGGTAGCGCGCTCGCCTGGCATGCGTGCTGCCTGGGTTTGATCCTCAGCACCATGTACAAAAACAAAGATGTTGTGTCCGCCGATAACTAAAAAATAAATATTAAAAAAAAATTCTCTCTCTCTCCCTCTCTCTCTTTAAAAAAAAAAAGTAGCTAATGGAGGAAAACATTTTATTCAAAGGTGGTACAGAGGAAAATAGAAGACTTTTTCTGTCTCAAATCCCCATTTTATTTTTTTACTGGGGATTGAACTTGAGGCATTGCATATCTTAGGCAAATACTTTTCCGCTGAGCTACATCCCCAACCCTATCAAATCTCCGTCTTCAGAGGGCTCAGGGACACATAACAACTTTTATAAAAGAAAAGGGGGAACAGTAAGACTAAAAGCAGGAAATCCATGTGCTGTGAGGGGGTCATCTTTTCCCAAGAGTGCCTCCCCCTCTGCTCCCTCCTCATCACATCAAAGGAAACTTAGACTTCCTGGAGCCAGCATCTGCATTTGTTTGTTCTTTTTTTTTTTCTTTATTTGCAGTATTGGGGACTAAACCCAAGGGCACTCCACCACTGAGCTGCATCCCCAGCCCTTTTCATGTTTTATTTTGAAACAAGGTCTCACTAAATTGCCCAGAGTATTCTTTAACTTGTGGTTCTCCTGCCTCCACCTCTGGAATTGCTGGGATTACCAGTATGAACCATTGCACCTTAGAGTCTTTATTTTTTTAAAACTGGACAGTTTTGTTTCTTTGTTGTTGTTGTTTGTTGTTCCAGGAATTGAACCCAGAGGGGCTTAACCATGGAGTCACATCCCCAGCACCTGCCCCCACATTTCTTTTTGAGACAAGGTCCTGTTTAATTGCTTTGGACCTTGCTAAATTGCTGAGGTTGGCTTTGAACTTGCATTTCTCCTGCCTCAGCCTCCTGAGCCACTGGGATAAATAAATAAAATTTAAAAATAAAATGTTGGGCTGGGAATATAGCTCAGTAGGTAAATGCTTGCCTCGCATGCACAAGGCCCTGGATTCAAACCCCAGCACCAGAATAATTAATTAAAATATTAACCACCAGCTGTGTGGAAGGATATCCCCAATCCCAGTTAACAGTACTATCAGGAAGATTCTGAATATCAAACTTACTCCAAGAGTCACAATTCTCTTCTTAATGTAGAACTTCTGGATTTAAACAAACTTGACATGAAAAAAATAAATATTTATTAGAAAAATAAGATTTAAATTTCTAAAATGAAAGCAGACACAGTGTTTCCCAATTCCAAAGGACTTTCGTAAGCTGGAGAGAGACATTCCAAGGCTGACAACTAAGTCAGGAAACATTTACCTCAAACCTACAGGAGCCACGAATCACCAGGTTTGTGTGTGTGTGTTTAAATATTTTTTTAGTTGTAGATGGACACAGTGCCTTTATTTTATTCATTTATTTTTATATAGTGCTGAGGATCAAACCCAGGGCCTCACACATTCTAGGCAAGTGCTCTACTACTGAGCCACAGACCCAGCCCCCAAATCACTATTTTTGCTGAGGCCTTTCCTCTATACTCCTCCCACCAAGTCCTCCAACCTCGACACAGAACTGAACCATACTTCAAAAATTTCCATATGTACTGAACTGTCTCGTAATTTTTTATTGCCTAATTGGATTTTATTTCCTCTGGAAATTTTTTCTTATTGGTACCTGACCCTTAACTGATGACTTCATTTTCCTCTTTAGATCCTTTGTAGAAAATGTAATTGTTAGGGATTTTTAGATCATCAGACAGAATATGATAAAGTGGCACTTAGTGTAATCTGAAGGTAGAAATAAGCAAAATAAAACCTGGGAGAGCCTTTCTTTGCCCTCTTGCTAGTTAATAAACAGATTGGGGGGCAGAAAAGGGTTCAAATGGGGAGAAGAAAAGTGATGACCACTAGGCCTATCCCTGCTTGTTCCTGCTCCTGTTTCAGAATACCTTCTCCTGAATCCCACTTGCTAAATAAAGTAATAGTCACTACTTTAAGCTATTATTGAGAAGGGGTTCTCCAAATGATCTGAGAAATCCCCCTGGGCAGCACTTTTTCCCTACAGACTTAGGAAAGCCCATGAATACCCAGTTGGGCAGGAGGCTGGATACTTTGTCCTCCCAGTTGGGCCAAGCAGAACAATAGAGCACAGTATCAGCTTCAGTCTAGGTACTGTCCTCCAGGAGAGGAAGTCCTGGCCACGGAAGGATCTGGAATGATCATCTTAAATCCAGAAGCTCTGCCCTGAATTGAGAACCAGGAAGGGGCAGCATAGGGAGGCAATACAGGCCTCAAGGAATTGGCACCAGTGTGCTAGGAGGTAGGATTTTGAGGCCATTTTCCATTATGTACAAAGAAGGAGCCTAGGGACCCTGAAAGATCTAATATCTCCCACTCCCAACAAAAAGAAGCTTTGACAAACCAAGTTTTTATTTCCAGCAACATCTGGTTGATACAAACACACAGAAACACAATCTCACAGAAGAGCTAGGAAGCCCTCCAACACTCCGCCTGATTTCAGCATACAGCTAAGACCACACACACACACACACAAACACACACACACGCTCAGCAAAGAGCCAAGACAAATAATACGTGCACATCCTCACAGCTCTACAGATATCTTTAAAGGGTCTGTCCGGTTGTTCCAGCTGAGGGAAGAGTGATGGCTTGCACAGAAAGCTCTAGCCTTCTTTTCTTTCAATCAGTGGTTTTAAGTCTTCGCTCCAAGTCCCCTGAAAGTTCACTATGCCCTCCCACTTTCCTATAGACACAGTGTCAGTCTGCTTGTGTTCAGGAGGAAGATTTAGCGAGGAGGATCCCAGTGGCACTTTTCGTGGGAAGACAGAAGAGTGGGCTCCAGAGATGGAAGAGAACGTAGTCACCAAACAACCATTTCAGCTTCTCTGCTCTCCAGATCCCACTCCAGAACAGCTGGCACCAGTCCTCATTATGGCAGGAGAGAGTCTAGGAAATAGGCTCAAGATCCTTATTCAAAGGCCATAAGTAAGGCCAGGTAGTGATTTTGAATTCCTGGAAGCCATGCCACTCTTGCTGTCTACTTAGCGAGGGAGATCAACAGAGGCATGCCCAGAATTCTTGCCTGCTCCCTGCTAGGACAGGGAATTAAAATTTACACAAGTCTCAGGCCACTCAACAGTGGTCGGAAAGGTAGGGAGGATAGAAAAGAGAAAGGGGCACGTAGCTGACGTTATTACAGTTACATTCTAAGGAAGATAAAAGTGGGGTGTCCTGTGGGGTCTAGAAGACAAATAAGGCATCCTGTGAAACTAGACACTAGGGACCAGAGTCTGGCAGCACCTGAGTGGGGCAAGCACAGAGGACAGGAGATGAGCCAGGTCAGGTCACACCAGGAATGACGAAGTCTGTTTGAATTCCCCCTAGGGAAATAAAGAATCCGGTCAACTCAAAAGTCTTCTTTAGCTAATAAACCCCCAGACACATAAACACAGGCTAGGGACCCCTCCCCTCCCCAGAGAAGGCATACTCACTTCACTTCTAGCAGTAGGCTGGCTGTAAATCACCTTCTTACTTGAAGTCCTGTGGACAAGCCAGAAGGTAGAGACGCTCAGTCCCCTAGGTGCTCATTAACCTCTCTGTGCCAATTTTAGAGGCCAGAACTGAGACTTTGCAAAAGCACAGGACAGAGGTGTAGGCAGAGGGAGAAAGGACAAGCCCAGGGTGAACAGGGATAGAAATATAGTTGTCAGGCTGGGGATGTAGCTCAGGGGTGCAACACTTGCCTAGCATGCATAAGGCCCTGGGTTCGATCCCCAGGAAAGAGAAAAGAAAGGAAGGGGGAGGGGGGCAAAAGGCAAGGAAGAAGGAAGGAAAAAGAAATCTAAAATCTAATTGTCTTCCCTCTGAGAGTTGGTCACCTCTACCTCCAACCCATCCCCCAGACACATCTCGGCTTCAAACCACAAGCATCCTTTTCTTAATCTTGGAGGAACTCTGGGACAGCACTCACTCACCCTTTCTTTGTTCCTGAAAGAGAAAAAAGGAGTATTAGCAAGATAGAATACAGCACGGCATAGGAAGGTGGGGGACTAGTACCCAACACTTGATCTAGGTTAGGTCAAATAATCTATGCTCCCGAAGGGGAGAGCCCCAGCACACATGGGTGCAGTATCAGGGTCTGAATTTCATCGGTACCCACAAACTATGCCCTGGACTGGGGACAGTGCAAAGGAGAATCTCTGAAAGCAAATACTTACTGTCAAAGTAGCCTCGGCTATAGGCAAACCAGATGCCAAAAATTAAGACTCCAAGGAGAATCAGTGTCACAAGGACAGCTGCTACAATGCCTCCCACGTTCAGTTCCACTGTGACATACAAAGGAGAGGTCAGGCACATGGACATTCAATCATGACAGTGACAAGGCTGCCAATGGCAGGTTGCAGAGCAGCCTAGATCTGAGCTCAAGCCCTGCCACGTTCTCACTCACCAGCTTCCATGCGTACAGCTTCTGACTTCATGGGTGTCCCATACCCATTCTGTGCCTGACAACTGTATTCTCCAGTATCAGAGCCCGTTACAGGATCAAAGACCTAGAGGGAAGAAAATAAATTGACTTGTTGTACCTTCCCCCCACTGTTGGGGATTGAGCCCAGGGGCACTCTACCACTGAGCTACATCCCTAGCCTTTTTTATTTTCTTTTGAGATACGGTCTCACTAAGCTGCCCAGGCTGAGATCTTCCTGCCTCAGCCTCCGGAGCAGCTGGGATTACAGGAGTGTACCACCATGTCCAGCTGGCTTCCTACTTAAAGAAATCAAGTACTGATCTTTTATGTCTTCTGATCCAAACTTCAAGTTCACCTTGTTACTTATTCCTCCTTCCCACTATCAACAGTTGTGTAATAGTGCCCTCCCTGTACATCTTCATTCCCACCCTCTGCATACCAACTCCCCTGACTTCTGATTCAGAGTATAGGAAGAATTGATGAAGGCCCGGTTGTTCTTGGGATCTGTAGGCATCTGTATCCCATCCTTGAACCAGATGTATTCAGAGGGCGGGGAACCATCTTGTTCTGAGCAGGTCAGTACTGCCCGGTTTCCAATGGTAGCAGAGGAGGGAATGTTGACTGTAGGCTTAGATGGAGGCACTGGGGAGGGAGAGAAGGAAAAAAGGCATTGAAGTTTATTACAGTGGCGCACACATGTAATCCCAGCAACTCGGAAGGCTGAGGCAGGAGGATCAAGTTCAAGGCCAGCCTCATCAACTTTGCAAGACCCTGTCTCAAAGTAAGAAAATTTAAAAAAAGGAGGGGGGATGCTGGGGATGTAGCTCAGTAGTTTAGCACACCAGGACTCAATCCCCATTATCATCATAAAAAATAATAAAGAAAGAAAAGAAATTATGCATATCCAAGCCAGGCATGGTGACACATGCCTACAATCCCAGGGGAGGCTGAGGCAAGAGGATCGCGAGGTCAAAGCCAGCCTCAGCAAAAGTGAGCGCTAAGCAACTCAGTGAGACCCTGGTCTCTAAATAAAATTCAAAATTGGGTGGGGATGTCATAATTCTTTTTTTTTTCTTTTCTTTTTTTTTTGGTGGTGCTGAGGACTGAACCCAGGGCCTTATGTATGTGAGGCAAGCACTCTACCAAGTGAGCCATTTCCAGCCCCTTGTCTTGATTCTTGTATTTCTTTCCCGTGTCCTATGTGAGCTATGAATTTTGGGTTTCCCTTGCCTGAAATGTGCTGGCTGAGAAATATGGAGAAAAATTACACGACACAGAAACAATTTTGAAAAACAAGGGTGAGGCAGCTCTGTGACCTTAGAAGTCCAGCTTTCACACTGGAAGGAAAGAGAGCAAAGAGCCCGCATTTGCTTTATTTATACAAGGGGGATTCAAAGGATTTCAGTGGAATGTTCTTTTGCCAAATAAGGTAGGAGGGCTGTGGCCCAATGGGTAACGCCCAAGTCCGAAGCTATAGAGCAGCCTCTCTAACTGGGTGAAGACTGAAGACTGAGGTCACCTCATGCTTTGCTAAAAGCCACAAAGTGACTTGCAATGCCAGACCAAAATCTCCTTGAATTACCAAAATCTACTTGAGGCCGAGTAGAGACTATTCAAATAGCTCAGGCATGGCCCCCATAGGATGTGGCTTAGTGGTCGAGGGTCCCTGATTTCAATCCTCAGTACCCAAAAAAGGTGGGGGAGGGGGCTAGGGATGTGGCTCAGTGGTTAAGTGCCCCAGTACCAAAAAAGAAAAAAGAAAAGAAATTATACTGAATCCAAGTTAGGAACGGACGATCCAAAAAAAGTGGGGGGAAGGCACTGAACACAGGGCTGGCTACCTGAGTATAATTAATAGATCATAATGACACCCCCATCCAATTAGCTATAGCTACCCTCAATTATGCCCCTGGTTTCCACCTAACCCCTCATCCCTCCCCTTGTTAGCCTAATGACTCTGAATACCCCTAGCCACAGGCCTCTCACAATCTTATTAGAGTCTGCTAGAGGTTAAGGAAGCATTAATTCCAAGCCCACGTGGAAGACACATACCAATCACAATAAGCTGGATGCTGGCCTCCCCATAATTGTTGCCACCTTCCTCAGAGACCATACAAGTATACATCCCATTGTCTTTCCGGGTCACAGATTGGAAGGTGATGCCAGATGGTGAGAAGGTAACACGGTCCTCATAGGAAGCTACCAGGAGAAGGGAACAGAGACAGAGTGAACAGAAGCTAAGAGAAGCTGATACACAAGGTACACAGGCACCTTCTTCTTCCTGAAAGAGGAATGGGAAGGCCCCGGAGATGGGCCCCAGGGTGTGCCCCACCCGTGGAATCCTGGCCAGGGCCAACTGTTACACGACCTCAGTAATCAGGAAGGAGGTGGAACAACTCACCTGTGATCTTGTTGTTATAGCAAACCAGACTGGTGGTGTCACCCTGGACAAACTTCCACTCCACACGGGGAGAAGAGAAGCCAGAGTAGGAGCAGGGCAACTTGACCGCTGCAAGACAGAATCAAAATGAGAGGAGGAAGGAATATCAACATGTGGAAGGTAGGTAACAACCCCAAACCACAGTCTGGGCTACATGTACTCCTGGCCCCTGGGGATCTGATACCTGTTCATATTTACACCCTCCCTGCCCACCCTCCACAGCCCAGCCCCACTCACGGTTATTCTCAGGAACTCGAATTTCCGGTTCAGATATGTGTACTGTACCCTTGCCCAGCACCAGGGGACCTGAGAAGGAAAGAAACAGGCCCCATCAGAAAGGGAGAGAACACCATGGAGAGGGAAGAACAGACCCAGTTGATGGGGCTGAGTTCCTCCCAGCTCAGCTCTTATATCCTTTGACCAATTTCCCAAATATCTTCTTTCAATATATGTGTATATATGTGTATGTGTGCGAGAGTTTATAGGCCAATACTTCTTCTATCAATGGAAATAAAGCATTTCTTTCAAATGCAATTTCTTTCTTTCTTTCTTTGAATGGTTCCCTCTGTAACTCCCCATAATATAATTAAATTCCTACTAGTCCAAGGGCAGCTTCCAGAATGACATTTCATGGTTCAGAGAAAGCTCCTCCACAAAGGATCGCAGCCACTTGTCAAGACAATCCTGGAAGGAAGCCAGCAAGCTGGAGGCGAGGTAGGGAGGAGCAATAATGAGGATAATAATAATACTTGACATTTGTAGAGCATTGGGTGCTTTTAAAGTGTTTTCAGATATATTGCCATCATTTGATCCTTGAAATAAGCATGATATATGGGCAGGACAAGTATTATTATTCCAATTTTACACAAGGAACTGAGAGATTACAAGAAACGTGCCTAAGATCACACAGCCCATGCTGAGATGGGGCTAGGGCTAGATCTGGGCTCACAGGACCTCCTTAGAACCTCCTACTAATCAAATGGAGAAAGAAAAGGTGGTATGGGATGCAGGTGGAAGAAGTAAGGAATAAGGAAGCCAATAATCAATGGGGGAGGTGGTCAGGTTCACAAAAGGGGCACAAATTGCCACTTCTACAATGACCGTCATTCACATTTTCAAAGCTCAAATTTACCAACTATGCCTTAGAGCCCTGTCTTCTTAGATAAATTCATAACAATGTGCAATGCAAGCATATCTTTTAAATTCAAATAAATCTTTCTTTATCTTTGAACATTCTTGCCAGGTACTGACATGTGATCCCAGTGACTAGGAAGAATGAGGCAGGAAGATTGAAAGTTCAAGGCTAGCCTGGAACTAAGTAAGACTCTGTCTCAAAACAAAAAATAAAAACAGCTCAGTGGGGTAAAGTGCCCCTGGGTTCAATTCCCAGTATATTAAAGAAAAGAAAAAGACAGGAATGAAGGACTTATTGCCCCAGCTGCTAGGAGTGCTGCCAAAAGACTCCGAGCCTTTGAGGATAGCCAGAACACGGCCTTGTCCAACTTGCCTTTTACCAGAGGCAGAAGCAGTGTAAAGCCCTGGTTCTATCACCCAAATCCCCAACCCAAGGCATCACTGATGTCTTGCTCCAAAGCTCCCTGTGAGTAGACTGAAGCCTCCTTGAAACTACAGCAAAACTCAATTTCTCCTCTGTCCAATTTTGCTTCCTTCCCTTCCTTTCCATAGGTGTGGATCCTAAGAGCACTCCCTAATAAATGTCTTGAATGATAATTGATATCTCAGAGTCAGCTTCCTGGGAACCCAACCTGTGACACCACCCAAGTAACAAGCAGCATCTAATTAAACTAAAAACTAGCCTCTGAAATAGACACACACACACACACACACACACACACACACTCACACACATAAATCACAATATATGAATTTGATGGTTATTCCTGTCACTTCTGACTTTGGCTAAAGTTCTTATTTGAGTCCACTGAGGTCATCAGATCTAAAACACATTTAGGAATCACACCACACATTTACACAAATATATCGGGCTACAGGCATATTCTGCTTCTTCTCGTTAATCCTGACTGCCATTACCTGCTCTGGGCTTTTCGTCTGTTAAAAATACACAGAGTAGCTGGGTGCAATGGCACACACCTGTAATCCCTGCAACTTAGGAAACCCAAGCAAGTGAATCGTGAGTTCAAGGCCAGCCTCAGCAACTTGGCAAGACACTAAGCAATTTATTGAGACCCTGTCTCAAAATAAAAACAAAAAGGGCCCATTCAGGAGGCTGAGGGAGGAGGATTAGAAGTTCAAGGCCAGCCTGATCCTGGGCAATTTAGCAAGATATCTCAAAATTTAAAAATAAAATAAAAATGGATGGGGAGGGGCTGGGGATGTGGCTCAAGCGGTAGCACGCTCGCCTGGCATGCGTGCGGCCCGGGTTCGATCCTCAGCACCACATACAAACAAAGATGTTGTGGCTGCCAATAACTAAAAAATAAATAAATATTAAAAAAAAATTCTCTCTCTCCCCCTCTCTCACTCTCTCTTTAAAAAAAAAAAAATGGATGGGGACACAGCTCAGTGGCAGAGTGCTTCTCTAGCATGTACAAGAATTTGGGTTCAATTCCCAGTAGCAAAACAAAACAAGCTGAGGATATAGCTCTGTAGTAGAGGGCTTGTCCTCTCTGTGTGAGACACTGATTCCTAGTACAAGGGAGTTGGGGACTGACAGGGACCTCCACCTCAATGTTCACTCACCTTCCTCTGATGTAAGATTGCCTGTCTACTGTGGACCAACTGTGTCAATGTCTAATGTGCCTGCCTATCATTCAAGTCAAGCCCAGTCTTACCACCATGCCTTTTCTATTCGCTTCTCATTCTTGAACATGTCTCTAGAACTAGACTGCCTAAGTTGAAATCCCACTCTGTTACTATATGACCTGGGCAAGTCACTTAGCCACTCTGAGCCTCAGTTTGCCCATCTGTAAAATGGGGATAATAACAGTTTCTACATCAAAGGACTGTAGAGAGGGTTAAACAAGCGAATACAAATAAACTTAGAACGATGTCTCACCAACAGGAAGTTCCAAATATGTATTATTATCATCATCTAATCTATAGGCCCTTCCATATGCACTTCTTTCTAACTTAAAAGTTTTCCTTTTAAAATACATACATATATATATATATATATATATATATATATATATATATATATATATATATATATATATATATATATATATATATATATATATATATTTAGTTGTTGGTGGACCTTTATTCTATTTATTTATTTATTTGTATGTGGTGTTGAGAATCAAACCCAATGACTCACACATGCCAGGCAAGTGCTCTACCACTGAGCCTCAACCCAGCCCCTTTCAAAGTTTTCTTTAGCAAAACCTATGAATAAATAATAAACAGTAACTGAAAAGTTTTTACGTGTTAACCTGCTACACCATCAGCAAGGATAGGGGTTCTTCTTCAAGGAATCCCATCTAGATCAAGACAGCCTATTTTCCTGCCCATTCTCCTCATCTATTTTATATTTTACCTGGTTTCACCAAAGCTCCCCTCTTGCACTTAACCTTGGACCTATTTTTGCCACACTGTACACACACATACAAATGTCCCACTGATGCTGTGGTAAACCAAGACAGAAGGAAATTTCATCCATTCCATTGTGAAGCTTAATTTATTCTTAGGTTCACAATGAGAAAAGCCACAAAGTTAAAAGCATCAATAGATTTTTGGCATGCTTAAGTTTAGGGTCCATGTATAGAAAATCCATCTTTCATTCCACTGCCAGTTGAAAAGCTAACAGTTACGGAGCACTTAGTATATGCCAGGAACTGTTGTAAGCACAGGACATTTACTATCATTTAATCCTTTCAACAACCTTCAGAAGTGGGTAAGGGTATTATTATTGCCCCTATATCCTACATGTGGAAATGGAAGCCCAGAGCAGTTAAATTTGCTGAAGGCCAAACAGTGAGTGGTAGGGCAGATTCAAACCAATGCAACCCAGTTGCAAAGACTATGCTATACTATATTACACAACTTGCCTAACAATGCAAATCTGACACTTGCCTCAAGCTTTAGTAGTAGTAGTAGTAGAACCCAAGGGCACACTACCACTGAGCTATATCCCCAGTCCCTTTTATTTTTCATTTTGAGACAGAATTTTGAAAGTTGCCCATGCTAACTTCAAGCTTGTAATCTTCCTGCATCAACCTCCACAAGTCACTGGGATTGTAGGTGTGCACCACTACTTACACCCAGCTTGCTTCAAGTTTTTGATGATTCCACACTGCCTATATTATAAAATCCAAATTTTTCTGCACACTAAGAAAGTTCCAGCACTACTTGCCCTGTGATAAGCTTATCACTTTCCTCATCCACTCTGCAGCTATGCTTTGCCTTCTAGCAATACAAAACCACTTACACTTCCCAGCAAAGATTGGGCTGTTCTGCAACCTCTCTGCCTTTGCTCATGCTATTTCTGCTATGTGGAATGCCCTTCTCTCCTCTTCATCTGGCTGGCACCTACTCATCCACTTTATTTTCTGAGAAATGATCTACCACACCCCAATCCTCCCCATAGCCAGCTTACAGCCTTTCCTGGGCTTTCATTATACCATGCAAAATGCTGTCAAAGCACTTCCCACATTTATTGTGACATCATCTGTGTACACATTTCTCCCCTACCAGACAGTAAACCCCAGAGAGCAGAGACCAGAAGTTATTTATTATTCTGAGTACTCTTAGCATAATTCCTTGTACAAGATGACGTTCAATAAATGTTTGCTGAACACTAGTTACTGAGCATTAAAAAATTAGGTCCTAGTAGATCATCAACTGTGACATCTACTTGTTAAGGTTGATCTGCAAGGATAAATTCAATTTTCAAACTGGCAGATAGAGTATGACCAAATTAAGAGAGGGGGAAATACTTGATTCTGGGCCAAAGCTTTTAAAACTTTTAATTCTAGCATAGTTTTTGTTTTTCTAGTACTAGGGATAAACTCAAGGGCAGTTTACCACTAAGCTACACCTCCAATCCTTTTTATTTATTTTGAGACAGTGTCTCACTAAATTGCTAAGGCAATTTGGCAGTCATCCTGTCTCAGCCTCCCAAGTGGCCGATATTACAGGCATGTGCCACCGCACCCAGCCTTGCATAAATTTTTTTTTAAAAAAAACTATCCAGTTTTCAAAATATGAAGGCTCTATTAGACCTTTTTTAAAAACTAGTTTTATATCTTAAATCACTTTAAAAGTGTTTTTAGGGTATGCATGGTGGCACATGCCTGTAATCCCCCAGCTACTCAGAAGGCTGA